AACTGGTGCAATCAAGCTCAAACTTCACTCACGTGACCTCTGTAGTACCAACTATAAGCACACATGAGCAGAAGCCATTGTGACAAACCTAAAGATATGTTATGGCAAAAGTGTGGATGATTTTTAACTTACCTTCATACAATTTGTTTTCTTTTTTAAATATTTTACTGTGATAGATAGATAGATAGATAGATAGATAGATAGATAGAAGTAAGGCATCCAATTTGTTTTAACCATGAACACAAAGTTTCATCACAAAATTCTGGTGTATTGTCAGAGACTAACGTTTTTGGCACCTCATTTCTGGAAAATATTACTCATAATATTTGCTATACCATGGCTGCCTTCTATCCTGAACTCTAACCACTTCATTTCTTTCTTTTTATTCTATGTATAATATTGGTTAATACTGGATCCTGTAAGGTTTCAAATGCAATACAATCTAAGGGTTATACATCTATTTCAATCCAGTGCAATATCTTCTGAATTAATTGATCTTTCTAATGTTTCATTTTTGAACTATAGTCTTGATAGAGCATCTACATGTGGAATAGTGTTTCCTTTCACATATTCAATGCCACAGTCAAAAGCTTTATGGCCAATCTTAAAATTCTAGGAGATGCAACTTTAGGTAACTCTCTGTACTAATGGGTCAAATAGTTTCAAAATTCTAGCTTAGTAAGAGTTAGTTAAATCAAAGAAAGTATAAAACTTAGTAATTACTAAATCTAGAGAGTGGCCTCAAACTTTTGATCTCTAGTGTACACTGTTAAATTACTGATAATCACAAGGGGTGCAAGATTTGAATGAATCAATCTTTTTCTTGGTGACTTTCCATAGCAAAGACATGTATTCTTTTCACTCCGGCAAAAATATGATTACTCAACTACAGACACTGAAGTTTGCTTTGAACTCTTTACATTTCATTTCATTTCACCTTTTATAAAATGTCCTTTCAATATATTTATTAATATTTTTTGTTCGAATTCTAGGTCTTACTTTTCCTTTCAACTTAGCAAAAATTGTTTGCGGGTCAAATGTACCAGGAACATATAAAATCTGATCAAAAGTGTTGGATCCTACAACAAAACTTATCAAGTGCCTTTCCAGTTTCTGTATTTTGAAAGTTGGTAATGTCACCATGTGAGCAGATCAGATCAGTCAAAGTTTTGACAAAGAATTTCTACATCCCTTTACCTGACCCCATCACAATTGTGTTAGTAATAACACTGTCAACATCCATTTCTATGGATCTTTCAACACATGGGCACAGAAAGTGTTGATGGAGTGACACTGTGGGAGCCAGAGAGTAACTCTACCACTTCAAATATATATATGATCACACAGCCTAAGATATTTGATAGAAATAGATTTTCCCCCATTGAAATGGGGCATGAATTTCAAAGTTTATTATTAAACTGAAATTGAACAAGAGGTAAAATCCTTCAAAAAAAAATGTCTACTTAAAAAAAAATCAGACTAATACATAGGTGATGATTTTGAAGTGGACACTTACCTTACACCAGAAAATAGAACCTACTTTTTCTCCAAAACAGGACATCACGGTGACAGTTTTGTTTTCCTGGGGTTGCTTGAGTGCCCAGGAAATACTGAAGTGAGTGTTGTTCAGCTGAACAACAGTAACAGCTCTGGGCCTTTCAGGTGCTGGAAATCAAATGTTTGCATATTCTTCAATAACATAAATGAACACTCTTTATTATTGAGCAATATTGCAAACAAACAATTGTAAAATTGATTTAACAATGATGATAAGCTGACTGTCCATGCCTGCTTGTCAAAGTTTAACAAATAAAAACTGTTTTGCAATGTGTCAGACATTTGGATTTCTATTCAACAGTTAAGTGTGTGTGATATTATGAAGCTTGAGGCAACAGAAATGTCAATCTACAGAAGGATGCTGAGAATGTTATGAATTGAACATGTGAGTAACAACAAAGTTTTAAGGGAAATGGAAATAAAAAGACACTTATACTTAGAATCAAAAAGAGATAACTGAAATTTCTAGGGCACATAATAAGGAATTCAACACTCACAGGAAATATTAAAAGAACAGATGAAAACAATGAATAATCTACCTAACGAGATTGTATAAAGGTTGGTTGAACAGCAATTAGGGGAGCTAGAGAAACAACAAACCTTACTAAGAACTACAAAGGATTGGAAGTTGTGGAAATCCATTATTGCCCACATCCTGAAGTGGAAACAAATTCAAAACCCAAAAAATTAGCATTTAAAGGAAAATCAGCCTAATTTGTTGCAATAATAAGCAATGCACATACAAACACACTGATATATACCGATTCATTTGAAGCTTTTTTTTTCACCCACAAACAGAATTACAGAAGTTTTGGGTAGTGCAATGGCTATCAGCAGAGAAAGGGGAATTGGCAGCAAAGTTAAAATTTCAAGCTAGCATGTTGCATTCACTTTCACACAGTTGGGAAAGGCATGAATCTGCCCCTTCTCTTCTCCCCTGCAGACCTGGGTTAAGTAGCAGGGTAGACTTTGCCCACTAGCCTTGGGTGGCAACTAGTCTAAGAGAAGGAAAACACTGAATTCCAAACCATAAAGCAACAGGAAACCACTCCACTATCTTTCCCAAGTATGTAAGTCAATTCACAGATAATAAAGAAAAGGAATGTATGAAGAGTTATGGTCCCATATGTCCTGAATGGATTAGGCATTTAAAAAAATGTGTGATGCTGGTAGACATTCATACAATAAAATTGTTTCATTGTTACAATTGCATGCTTTGAAATGCATATAAATACATACACTGACATGGAAGATATCTTTATTATTATAAAACTCTGTGAACGTTGCTTGTGTGTTTGCCAGAAGTTATATATAGAGAGTGGGTGAAGGAAAGATTATGAAAGTAAATTTATTATCATGTAGGAAGTGGGTAGAGAAGAAAATTGTGTGTATTCATCTCAGATCGTGACTTAATTTAACATCCTGATTGTGGACATAAATGGTTACATTTATGTTGGCTTTTCCTCTCTCTCTTTTCCACCTCTTTCTCTCTTTTTCACTTCTCTCTTTCCACCTCTGAGATTTCAAGCATGCTTATTTATATTTCAGCTTTCTTTAAACAAACAATATTTTAAATATTTAGAAAATATTTTTGCCATATTTAAAAAAATATTTTCAAGTAAATATGATTTTAAAAATATTTTTTTGGCATATTAAAAATATATTTTTTAGGTTAATGTGATTTAAAAAATATTTTAAGTGAATAAGATTTAAAAATATGAGTTGTTTATACAGTAAGTATTTTTTTATTTCAACTTTCTTTAAACAGACAATATTTTAATATTGAAATCAACTTCAATGTTTTCTAACCTGAACTGTCACTGACCCAACAGGTCACAGGTAGTCTAGTTATATATAAATCTATATATCAGACAAATGGTGAGTAATAGACAAAAAAGGAAAAATATTGTGATATTAAGCATTTTGTCCCTTTAAAGTGATGGATTGTATATGTGAGTTCCATTTGAGGTCTGGAGTGAACTTGAGACTGAATAGACATTCAAAACATGGAGCTCATTGAGAGTGAAATCATTATGACTGGAGAAAACTTGAGATATAATTGGTGATGATGAAATGATATTAGCTTACTTTTTGACACATTGAAAATTTCCCCATTGAGCTGTTAGAGCTTGGTCAGAGGAGAGATCAGCTGCAAGGCTTTAATCATCTTGATATTTTTAAGTACTTACATAAACTTGTGATAACTTCTTCACAAATATTTGTAGGCAAATTGATTATAAAAAGCAGAAAAAGGCTAGAACCAGAGAGAGAGAGAGAGAGAGCCTTGAGGGATTTCTGCATTGATCTCATGGGCTGCAGAAGACTGGCCATTTACAAAGACCTTCATAGACTTAGATGTGTGAAAGGACTTGATGATTATAGAGATTCTTCCATAGCTGAAGAATTTGTGCAAATAGCCCCTATGCCCCAGGTTATCAAATGTCTTTGAGATATCTAAGGCAATTGTTCTGGTGATGAAGCTACCATTGAAATTTTCACTGATTCTGTGGGTAATCCCATTAAAATATCTGCAGTTGACCTATAGGAGTGAAACCCATACTGTTTCTTATCCAGGAGCATGTTTCTGGTAAGGTGATAAACTGTCTCCTTGTTGATAATAGATTCAAAGTGTTTGCTAATAACGTGGAGGGGCGCTGATGGTACAAAATATTGTAATGGGGATGAATTCTCATCAGTATTCATGAAAACATGGCAAACAGCTGGCAACTTAGAAAAACTTAAAAAACATTTCTCTTTGAGACAATTGTTAAACAACTTTGCCAAGGTTGGAAACAATTCTGGGATAAGGTTCTTAAGTACACTAGCAAGGAAATTTCATCCAGAGCAACAACCAGAAAGAGAGAAAGATAATGAGCAACCAGACAGAGAGATAGATAGATAATGAACAACCAGAGAGAGAGAGAGAGAGAAATAATGAACAACCAGAGAGAGAGAAAGGGAAAGATAATGAACAACCAGAGAGAGAGAGTGAGATAATGAACAACAAGAGAGAGAGAGAGGGATAGGTCATAGTATTTCTTACCTTTTGGTGGGATGTGTATAGTAGTCGGTGGTGAGTACTGATACTCATTTGTTTTAGCTCGAATTTTAAACCAAAGTTCTTTATTCTGTGGCTGATCATTTATTTTGATAAATATTTTTGGAGTTTCAGCCAGAGTTGTTCCATTTTGTTGAATGGCGTAACCTTCCAAAATACCATTCCTTAATGGCTTTGCTATCATCTGTAAAAATTCATTGCATACACAATAATAAAATATTTAAAGTGTATTTATTGAAATGAGACATCATTGCAATGCAGGATATTTTCCCTTTGTTCTATTAATCTATTCTAAGCCTTAAGCCTCACTATTTTTCTTTCTTCTTCAATATTTTACATATTTACTATACATCATCATCATCATCATTGTCATCATCATCATCATCATCATCCTCATGTGTACCATAAATGGGTGGGGTCATAGGATCATTGAACAACTGAGCACCTAACCAGTTCCCTTCATATATTTGGGTTGAAATCCAAACAGGTATTCATGTGCAGTGTAACTTGGGCAAGTAGATCTGACGGAGCCCATCCCTCTCCAGCTTAAACCACAGCTGATATCCTCCAACCTGAAAGATCAACTTGGTTGCAAACATGTGGTCATTGATTACATTGGAGGGATCCTCCACCCAGGCCATAGACTTCCTCCACCCAGCGACATTGTGTCATCACCACACTGACTGCATATATAGCTATGGAACATAGTCTACCCCATTGTGCTAGATGATCCGACATGAAGGTGCATCCATCCTTTGACAGGTCTTGTTTTCAATTCTGTTGTGTCACATGTCAATGTCAAAATCCTTATATTTACTTGTTTTGTTATATTATTTAACTTTTTTTTTTATTTGATGGCATATTGCAAAAAAAAAAATCATTGTTGCTAGACATGATTGGAAAGTCTCAGTGTATTATCATCAGATGAACACTTCCTGGATATTAAGGTTTACCTCCTTTTTAGAAATCAAGGTCGAGCCATAGCAACAGGGACTGATTCTTGGCACTATGTTTTGTTCATTACTCACCTGGTTTTTTCTTTTTCTAAATTGCCTGAATGTGGAGTTATTATTATTTATATTATTTGTATTCAGACTAATTTCCTCATCTTTGTTGTTGTTATCACATTTTGAACTTTTTGCCTTCTGACCTTTTACAGATGTCTGTTGACCCATGTCACCTTCAGATATGTTTTTCTTAGTAGATATCACATAATGCTAATTCTGTTTCCACCACTGTCTAGCCCAGAGGATCAAGGCCTTGGTTCATACATTTGAACTTTATTTTTCCTGTCTAAATTTCTGGGATGAGGAGATATCATTACTTACAATATTTACACAGTCAGACTAATATCCTCATTTTTGTTGTTGCTATCATGTTTTAGACCTTTTGCCCTCTGGCATTTTGCAGGTGTCTGTTGAATTTGGTAACCTTCAGGGAATTTCACACTAAATTTCTAAACAGAATATACTGGGAAAATAAGTTGTTTTTCATGTTTGATGTCAGCAATAAACATTTATTACAAATTGCTGGAAACATGTTTTGATGGACATTTTTTAATTCTTTTATTGAATTATATTTTCTTTTCTTTTATATTTATTTTAAATGATAATATTTTTAGATTTCAAATTCATCTCTGAATTTCTGGACAGAGGAATTACCATTATTTACATTCAGACTAATGTCTGCATCACTGTCATAAAACATTTTGGCCATCTTTGGCCTTCTTCAGGTGAATTAATGAAACTTGACACAAAATCATTACCTGAATTTTGACCTGAAACTTTCATTGTATAATGTTCAATCTGTGTAATTAATGTAATTAAGTGCTAAGTGCATTCACAAGGAAGATCATATTTAAAAATAATTATTTGTTGTATAAAACTTATTGATGTATGATGATGGCTGTTGTCCAATAGAATTGCTAGCTGAATTTTTATTTGCAGATTTTCAGTTTATACTGTTTAACCAATTGGATCTACAGATGACAGTTGGATTAAGTGCATTGACAATGATGATGATTATGCTTGAGTGGCCCTTGGGCCTTGTGAACTAAGAGTGAAAAAAAAAAGAAAAGTTGTCACTTAAAATGAAATCAGTGATGTGATGTATTCACAATGTAAATGTCAATGTCTAACAAAGGCACTTCATAAAGACTGATAAGTATGTCTTGAAAACATGTACATATGTTGACAGCAGGCAAGGAGGTGTACTAACTAAACTAAACGACACCCCCAACACAATAAAAATGTCGCAAAAGAGGTTGTATTGTACTTTACTATATATCTATACTTCTTTAGAAATAGTACTAAGTGTTAATTATTTTATAAGACAATCACAAAAGACCAACATTTCATGGTATCTTGAAAACGTATATATATATATATATATACATCAACAGCAGACAATGTAATCTTCATTAAAACATAAGTCCACAGCAGTGGAAGTGTTAAAAAAATTATTACCTAATCAAAGGATTAATTTTAAAAGCACACTGTTTTTTTTCATATGTGGTTTTCTCATGGGAAATTCTTTAGTTAAACAAATGAAATTAAATATTAGAATGTTAATAAAGCCATTTGTTTGTAAGGTTTTCGTCTATCAAATAGATTGTTGTAAGATTTTCAGGAAAGAGGCAGCTTCTTAGGAGACATATGTATTATTTAGGTCTGTGTGATCACTCACATCATACTCATAGGGATAGCCTTGTTTTCACAGGAATAAAAACATATAAAGAAATAATATTAAAACGTGTTAAATTGTAAATATTAATCATACTTTTATTTATTTTTGTGTACTGGTGTGTATGTATTTTAGATATGTGTTGTATGGTTGGATATTATAGAGGAAGAAAGTTACTTCATCTTATAACAAGCAAGGTACTGAGGAGAGGAAGGTTGGTAGTAAAGAGAATGAGTTGGGTGTTTTTAGGCATGAAGAATCCATTTCTCAGGTAGGAAGGTTTTCTGTTGCATGCTGGGAGAACTTTTATTATTTTGATTTTAATTTAAACTGAGTTTTAATATTATTTGTTTTATTCTATTTATGATATTTATTATTATTTTATATTTTTATTTTTATTTATTAATAATAATGTCCCCAATAATATTAATGTCCCTATTATTAATAATAATGTCCCTACAGGTTTATCAATAAGTCCATAGCCTTATAACTGAAAAACATTTACTGTATATACTTGTGTATCATTTTGAAGCTAATTTTAAGGGGGTTGCATCATACATGAGATATAAAATTAGCATATTAGCTATGCCATTGATCAAACTATATATCCATTTACTGTAGTCAAAAAGTACAGCTATATTCAAAATAAACATGATTTTGATATAACTGTTTTACTTAAGTGCATCCAATAATAATGCATTTAATATTCATATATTAGTATCGTATTATAAAATACAAACATAGCAAATATGCATCTTTTATGTTGTTTACATTTGTAAGATGTTTAGCTGTTTCTTGAGCAGTTGTTTATGGCTGTATGCGTATATACTTTTATCATTCTTTTTTATTTTTTTAACATATTTAACTAGAAGATGGGATAAAGAGATAGTGGAAAACAGGTTAGTCTATTGTAATTTGGTCTCTCAAAAAAGGAAATCGCATTATGCATGAGGCACATGATAAAATCATTTTTTTTATAAGTAAAATTTGGGGGTCACACGATATACGAGATAGCATGTTACACAAGTATGTATGGTATTTTACCTAACAAATTTTTCTAAATTCAAATTACTGAATGAGTTATGCGATATAAATGAAAGTGTAGAAAGTAAAGATTATTATGATAATGAGGATAGATAATGATTGACGAATGTCGTGAAAAGTTTAAGATTGTAATGTTTAGGGAGTTTATGCCACAGAGTTCTTGGGGAAGGAAAACTGTCTGGGTGGAACCTTACAGCTGGAATACAAAGGAAATGAGGGTCATTCAACTCTGTGGATGTAGCATTGCAATTCCTAGTTGTAAAGATCTAAACTTGTGGATCTAAAGAATTTTTGCTAAAACTCTAAAAAGCTTCAATGAAAAAGTTCAATAAATTTTTGTATAATCTAGTCCATTTACCCATAATTGAAATATCTGAAGTTTGAACAACAATATGGCTGCATCTTTGTTAGACATGAACATATTTGTTGGGTTACGAATACATCATATCACTGATTCCATTTTAACTGACAACTTTTATCATTCCTTTTCATCAAAGAAATATTTTTTTTATTCTTATGACTTTTAGCATCTTCTGCAAATGTAAATAAATGCTGCCAAAAGTTTTTAAAAGTGCAGTTGCAATGAGATAAATGTAAAAAGATCATTACAAGATTTAGAATTTTGAACATTTTTATATTTAAAAATCAACGATTTCTTAGAAAAAAAAGAAGTAATATTTCAGGATGTGAAATAAATTTTTATCCATTAGATATTCCTGATATTTTGTAATGTCCCCAACAAACCAAAATTAAACAGAATAATAAATAGAATTTTTGAGAAGGCATGAAAACAAAATAACTTACAGCCCAGTAGAGGATGAAACATCTTTTATCTTTTTCTTTACAGGTTATTTCCAAATAGCTTCCATTTGTTGATTTTGGTCCAGCATACGGAGCTTTGAAAGATAAATGTGAAAACATTTTATTTTAAGATTAACTACACTATTAAGATTTCTAATATTAAAACCTATGTTTATATAACAGATTGTAGTTTAGTTCACTTTTCCTAGACTGAGCTCTCATCAGTCTGGACTGCAGGAGGGCCAAAAGTTCATTGGTCAGAAATCAACAAAATTAGCTTTGCATACTTTCTACACTTTCTTGTCTAGATGACTGGGAGTGCATTATCCTGGGTCAATATCCTGGTTGCATTCTGACTTGGAGTAGGATATGAGCACCCAATTTTTCTTCAAACTTCTAGAAGAATGGAGGCACCTTTTTTTCCCACAGAAGCCCTGACACTCAAGACCATGACCTGGGGTGGATGCTTAACCCTGAAACTGGCCCTAGATACTGTCTGCTGTGAAGATTCTATTATCAGATAATATCTTAAGAATAGGCCCATAATTAATGAGATATCTGAGCACATTCTTGCACCTCTCTAACCTCCTTGAGATGGGATATTTTATTTTACTATCACAGTTGGCAAAACACCGGCTATTTGCCAGTCAATTCAAACTTTATGAAATGGTAAATAATAATATTAATAATTTAGTAAATATTTAAAAATAAAACATTTTTTTCATATCTATTTCTTTATAAATTTGTAAGTTAATTATTGCATTGAACTAGTTTTGTGTTAGTTTTTAGAATGTAATATAAAATTATTCTTGTAAATAAAAAATCTAATGAATAAATAATGTTTAATATTTTTGTTATGATACAGATTTTTTATTTTTAATTCAGTTTTAAAATCTGAATGATATTTTTCATACAAATTTTATTAGTAAAGTTTTTTTAAAAAAAATAGTGATTTAATATTTAATCTTTTCAAATTATTTCTTTAATAATGTCAGGCAACTATAATGTATATAGTGTTATTACAGCCAGTGTAGGTATTTTCAAAATGAAAAACAATTAATTTGCACACACATAAATCCATTCTTATATAGTAGAATTATCTGAAAATTTAAGTACAGCTTCTATAAATAACAATAAAGAATTTTACACCAAAAAGATTGTACCCAAACTTTGTTCAAAAACTTGAATTCAAAAAGTTTATTCATTTCACTAATAAAAATTCCTTTGCTAAAAAAAGACAAGTGAACATTAAAAACAAAAGCTGATTGTATTTTTGTTGATGATTTTAAAAGGAGGCTAAAATTATCATTTATAAATATAATGATTAAACAAAGCATCTTTAAATTATACATGAGTTTTTCAACAATTAGACGTGTCATTTGCTTGTTTATAAGGATCAAAGATAGCATCTACTCACCTGATGGCAAAGTTCTTTTTTTAAGAATTAGTTTATCACTCCAATATATACTTTCATTAGGTTTTGCTTGTATTTCAATGGTGTATGTCGTGTATGGCACTAAATCCTCAAGTACAATTTCTGTTTCATTGGTTGTAAAATTCTAAGTAAAATTAAACAATAGAAATTAAAAGCTTGCAATTTCAAAACATTTGCAACTGCTTCTGAAATTATTATTTTTATTGAGCAGTCATTAAGTTTTGTATTTAATTAAAAATGTCATAAAAGTGATTAAGCAACTGAAACAAAAGAAAATTAGTTTTCATTTTACTTTGCAAAAACGCCTTTCTAATCTATTACTTGTGATGATTTAATAAATGATATTAAATTGTTCTTTCAATTCTTTTTGCTTCTGAAAAGAGGATATTTCTTTCTTTAAATTGCCTCAATTTTGTTAAATCCAATGTAAGAAAAAAATCTTCATTCTTTATGAGATTAAGGCAAATGTCTCCATAAGTCTATAAACAAAATTGTTTGAAAAGGTATTTTCCGAGTTTTCATACTGCAGGAAGCGTGTCTGTCAGAAAATTTTACTCTCCATCAAACTTTCTTCCTAATATTCTCTTTGTAGGTTTAAACTTTAGTTTTATCTTGCGGTTATCTCCCTTTGTAATGTATTTTTCCATCCACTTAAAATTTGTTTTCACTGTCATTTTCTTTCTAACAATGTACTATTTCTTTTCAGGTTTAGACAAACATGGTTCTCCAGGTTATGCCACATCATATTCTGTAAAATTTGGTGTGAATATTTTTTAAAGGAAGGATTTGGATACATGTTAAGAAATAATATAAAATCTAGTAAATCTAAAATTACAAAAAAAATCTACCCTGGTTACAATGAGTAATGTTTATTTCAATACATGATGGATTATAATATTCAAGTCAATCTGCTATGATCAATTAATAAACTTAAAAATCGAATCAAGAGATAATTGAATTTATATAAAATGGAAAGGGTTATCTACCTTTGCAGTTTTGTCCCATTCAGATTTGTAAAATATTCTGTAGATGCAAGTAAATGTTTTAACATCATCATAGTCATTTATGATGGCATAAGACAAGTTGATATTTTCAATATTGGCAAATATCTTCACTTGTGTCAGTTGATCAAGTTTATCTAAAAATATTAGTAAATCTCAATTTAAACATGCAGAAAGTTTCCATTACAAGGACATGAGAAAGAAAAAAACAAACAAATAATAATTCAGAATTGTAAGATTAAAAAGTATCATTTTGAATTATAAGATTAAAAATATTGTCTTGAAATTTTGGATCAAAGTTGACCACAGACATTATGAAGTACTGTCATTATTCCATTAGATATTCAGAAAGACATTATCATGTTTGCCACTACATCATATATATATATATATATATATATATATATATATATATAATTATTTATTTAAAAATATGATTCCAAATCGCTACATAAGAGGTCTCATGTTTCAAAACAAGAGCCGAAAACTTCAATATAATCCTTTAAATTAAATTGAGTTTAAATTAAAATGGGCTCCATTCCATCTTCAAGCGAAATTTTTGTTGGAATAACGTATATCTGAAATTTACTTGTTTTAAAAATTTATGCTCTACTTTTGCATCGAGCACTATTTTTTAAAAATAATAACTAAAATACTAAGGGACTTTGGGTTATCCAACAGAATGATAGGATAAAGAACAAATAGGGAATGTTTATCAATTTGACATGTTTCACTTTTATTAAAGCTTCATTAGAAAATGAGATAAGGAAAAAAGGAATACAACACAAAATAAAAATGCCAGAATTTTTTTAATAAAAGTGAAAAATGTTATATATATATATATATATATACACATATATATATATCAATGATAAAAATAGTTTTCATGTATTCTATATTTATCAGTCAATACTCAATATCAGAGATAGAAGATAGAAAAGTCGACATTGAAGTTAAACCGCAGTGGTAACAGCCTGTTTCATGCTTAAACACAATCTTTATGGCCTGAAAATTGTGTTTAAGCATGAACTAAACTGTTGCCGCTGGATGTTGACTTTCATGTCCACTTATATATATATATATATATATATATATATATATATATATGAAGATAAATCAGAAAATAAATGCAATTTTTAAAATGATGTGGTAAAAAACAACAGGAAGGTGCTAATGTGTAACACTATGCATATGCATGGCAGGTAGATAGCCACATGCAGCATTCCATCATTCAGTTGAATGGCTAGGAGCAATGAGGTCAGACATATAGATGCTCCACTCAGCGAATGTATCATGGAGGAACAAATACACTATAGTGTGCTTTCTATGGACAGAGAGAGTCAAACTTGCAAAAATTAGATGTACGAGTGGGAAGAACAAGTGTAACAGAGAAAAGCGAATCTGGTCACCCATGAACATCTTGGAGGACACATTTTTCCAACAAGATTTCTACAAATATTTAGGCTGGTAGATGTAAATAAATACATATACTGTTTAATAAAATCGGAGCATCTCCTGAAATATGAGTATCCATTTAAGAAAAAAAAACTTTTAAAACAAATAAATTAAAAATATGTTGGGTAAAACCATTTCCTAAAAAAATGTCTTTGTTTAAATTTGAATACAAAACAAAGCAGATATGTCTATTTTGAAAATTGGGCAAATATGTGTTCAAAAGCAATATTAAGGCTTTATTTGACCAGAAGGTCCCATGTGGCCGAGTTGGTCTAAAGCATGTCAGATCCAATGATGGTTTCTCCTTGAATAGGGGATGGCAACCTTTTGCAAACTATGTACCGACTTAGGGGTTTTAAAATCTTTCAGTGTGCCAACAGCATACATATTTTTATACAAGTTAAGGTCAATATACCTGCCCTACAATATATTTTATGGTTAATTTACAGTGTAACACCCCGCACTCAGTTTGCATTAAAATTTTTTATTATATAAAATAGGTTAATTTGCAGTGTAACACCCATGCTCAGTTCACATTAAAAATTTCCAGAATACTTACATTTATGTGTAATTGTACATGATCCATTTGAATCTTGCTTGATAAATATGATAAAATCTACCATTTTGGAGTTATCAACAGTGAAAGTTCAGATTCATTTGCGTCACAGACAACCATTACTGGCATTGTTTGCATATATTCGCTGCAGAATAGCTATCAGTATAGGTATCATTGTGCAAACTGAGCATGTCTATGTAAATAGTTCTTGTGTGCAGTAATTGAGACAAATTTAGACAAGAAAGATTAGTTCCACACTTAGCTTTCTGTAGTCTTCTGTATTTATCTTTCTGCAGCAAATGTATGCAAATAACGCCAGTAATGGCTGCCACCAATGATGCAAATAAAATGAACTTTCACTGTTGATAACTCCAAAACAGTAGATTTTATCATATTTATCAAGCCAGATTTGAATGGAGCATGTACAATTACACATAAATATAAGTATTCTGGAAATTTTTAATGTGAACTGAGCATGTGTGTTACACTGCAAATTAACCTATTTTATATAATAATATATAGTATATATACTTTAGTATATATTAAAATTGAAACAGCTAAATATCTTCTTTGCATTGTAGTAGTTATTGGTTTGGACTTTGTGATGTCATTTGTGACTGTGTACCATCAGAAATTGCTTGAAATGTACTGTGGGTTGCCGACCCCTGCCCTAGCAGATACAAGTTCAAATGCTGACAGAGGACTCATATTTTTACAAAATTTACTGTTTAATAAATAAATAAAAACAGAGCATCTACTGAAATATGAGTATCCATTTAAAAAAAATAACGTTTAAACAAATAAATATATATATATTCTAAGATAAATATAAAAGTGAACATTGAAGTCAACACTTAGAGGTGACAGGCTGTTTCATGCTAGACACAATCATCAGGCCACGAGTGTTGTTTTTTTTTCTCGGCTATTTTTATATACAGGTCAGTGGTGCATTGTGGGTAGTCTATTTTGGCAGTTATTTTGCTGGAAGTCATTTATTTGTTTTATTATTTATTTGTGTTAAATTATTTTGCTTGTTTTTATTTACTTTTTTTTGTTTGTTATCTTATTTTAATTGGCGTTTTATTAACATACTAAAAATTTGTTTATATCACTTATTTAATAGTTTTGTTTTGGTTTGGGAAGATAATTAATGCTATTTATTCAATTTTGGGGTTGATTGCTCTAGTTTATTCTAACTATTATTTTGGTGGGAACAGTTTTTAATTTGTTTATTACTTCATTTATTTATTTGGATTGATTATCTTTACTTGTTTTTTTCTAACAGTTAATTTATCGGGATCAGTTTGTTTGTTTATTTATTTGGATAAATTTAAATTAATTATAATTACTTATATTTTTATTTACTCTTTTCGGTTTTCGATTTTTAAGTAACATAGTATTTTTTTACCATTTAGTGGCCTGACGATTGTGTCTAGCATGAAACAGCCTGTCACCTCTAAGTGTTGACTTCAATGTTCACTTTTATATTTACACATGCTCTATCTCTGATATTGAGCACTTTATCCCATAAATATAGCACACCTTAAGAGTATATTTCTTCATATATTCTTATATATATATATATATATATATATATATATATATTTCTGAGATCCAGTATTGTAATTATTTACACTATTTACATTGTTCAGACTGTTGTCCTCATTTTTGTTGCCATAGTCACAACATTTCTTCCACTGTATGCTTTGGCCTTCTTCAGGTGACTGGAATTTTGAATATATATCAAGAACACAGATCACACCTAAGACATACAGACAGTTGTCAATGTTACAGCAACCTACCTCATATATATGATCTCGCCAAAATTCATAAAGATGGTATTCCACACAGGCTAATTGTTAGCTACCAAATGGTCAGTATAAGCAGTACCCTACAACATAACAACTACCCTGGGTACATGACAGTGGTCCCGATAGAAGAGTGCAAGAGGACAACACTCAGAAAACAGCCTCAGTCTGCCTACCCTATGTGAAGGGATTATTAGAAAAATTATAAAAGATCTGTGGTTTATATAACATCAGGACAACCTTCAAAAGTGGTTCAACACTTTGATGACACCTCGTCCAAGTAAGACCCCCTCCCCATAGAAGAGAACTAATAATTCTTTCATTATTTTCAGCTTTTTTAACATGTGGATGAGGCTATTATATTTGTATTTTTAACACTAGGATGGCCGAGGTCTCGTTTTCGACACCTTCAAATTTTCAACAAATTACTATAGAATAACTAGTTTTGGTTCGATGCTGAGGCTTATGGACAATTATTGAATTTTTGCAAAGATGCTTAACAGACTTAATTCTTTAAAAAATATTCAGTGTAATAGCTGATATTTTAGGTTTTACCTTGAATGGCTGAGGTGTCATTTTTGACACCTAGGCTATTTATAGGGTAAATGCATTGAAACATTTCTCACAAGTAATAATACTTGTGTTTATGTCCCCTATCTATCTATTTATCTATACACACACACACACACACACACACACACACACACACACACACACACACACATAATTTATATATATATAAATATATAATCACTTTCTTTCAGTATGAAGTATACTAATATTTGTGAATTTCTTTTCATACTTTTCCTGACTTGAATATTGAATATATTAAAGATGGCTGCTTCACGGCGTAATGTAAATAAAGATGTCAAAGGAGCTGGCCATCCTAGTGTTAATGAGTATGTTACAGATAGTTTGGTAGGTGCCTATGTGTATTTAAGTGAGACCTAATTGAGTTATGATCAGAGATGTAATGTGAGCCTTCTTAAGCATGTTGTAGTATATCTAATACAATTATTTACGAATTTGGATTGTTCAGAAACACACACGTGTGTGTGAGAGAGATTAATAAAAAAAGAAATTACATTTATTTTAGGATTTATTCTATAATTGTATATGTTTAACAGATTAATAAATGTAACTTACAAATAGTTTTATTTACTTTAAATGTCCAGTTGCCTTGATAAATAGGAAAGTCTGTCTTGAAAATCTGAACATGGAAAATGTATGAGAAATACCACCAACAATTGATTTTACAAATGCTGGTGTTATTACAAAACTGAAAATTTTTCTCTGGTTTCTCTTTCCTGAAAGAAAAAAAATACAAAAAAAACTTGGCAAATTTTATAATGAATCCACAAAAGAAAATGTACATTCTTCATGATTAAAAAAAAATTTTAAAAATAAAAAAGAAAAAATACACATCAGTCATGTTTAGAATAATAAGAAAAATATCTTGCTTTCAGATTTCTGTGATTTTTTCTCAGATCTAATATAAAGACATTTTTACTTATTCTATTTAATGGTATATAAAAGCACTGACAAAGTTTAACCCTTTGCCTGTTTGGTGCATCATGTGATACACAGGACATGATTTCCATATCTGTGTATCATAGGTGCTGCATATGGACCATGATTTTAAAAGATTAGTAAAACTAAGGATGCTTAAGAAAAGAGTTTACTATTGAACAGGATGTCTGAGGAAAAACCTAATCTAATATTTTGTGCATCACATATGAACACAAGACGCTTGACCTATAATGTAATGTCTCAAATGAACGACATCTATTTTTCCATTTTATTGAGATGATTATAACTTTTACATCACATGTGATGCACAGAGTGTAGTGTAAATAATTTGTAATTGGAAGATACAAATTACAAGTCATTTACACTACAGTTTTTATTGCACTAAGTTTTTATTATATAAAACACTATATATCAGCACATTCTCTTTTTGCCAAATAAGCTGAGTTGCCTTGTAACAGTTATAAATCTGAAAATAAACATGAATGTTTGGATGGTACATACAAAAAAGCTCTTCACAGGCAAAGGGTTAAGCAACACTTGAATTGTTAGTAGTTTTATTTTTACTTAATACTTTTTAAATTTCTTTTACAAGCTGTTTACTTAGTGGTTATAATCACTTTTCTTTTGAGTAGGTTTCTAGGCTGTAGACGACTCTCAAACTGCATTACAATGATTTATTATAGACTTGTAAAAAAATTCTTTTTAGAGAAATGTTTTACATACTTTTTTTAAAAAAAATATCCACAAAAATATTTGGAATGTTTAAACATAAGGGGAGTTAAATAACATTTTGCATTGTAAACTTTTTTGGGCCATAAATTCATTAACTAAAGAGTCAATATTGAAAGCATGTTTTGTTCAAGCTATTTATTCTGAATATTATTTACATTATTCGGACTATTGTCCTTATCTTTGTTGCCATATTTATTACAACGTTTTGGCTGTTGTATGCTCTGGCCTTCTTCAGGTGGTTGGAATGTCAAACTGAACCCTTTATTTCGCTCACTGGGGTAGACTGTTCTAGTTCCACGTGTCATGTTTAATGGATGTCAGTTATCTCCTGTTAATTTTCCCTCTGAAAGTTCTCCTGCCAAGGCAGTGATATACAGAAATACTAATTACAAGTCATTTACACTACACTCTGTCCATCACGTGTGATGCACAAGTTTTTATTCTGCCAGCAATACTTATAATTCTGAAAACAAGCATGAACATTTGGATAGTACACACGAAAATGCTCTCCTTCTACTCCAGAACATCTTTCTGTTATCAAGCTGACTGGGACTCATTCCGTGATTTCCTTTGCGATGTCCCCTGGAATGTGGTCTTCAATCTCCCCATTCAATAATGCGCTTCTGAGATCTTCTCCTGGGTAAAAGCTGGAATCGATGCTTTCATCCCCACACAGAAATATAAGGTTAAATCACATTCATCCCCTTGGTTCTCTGCTGATTGCTCAGCTGCCATTGCCCATAGGAATCATTACTTCTGCCTATACCATAGTGACATGTCAGATTGCAACAGATGTCTCTTTGTCTCAGCCCGTAATGAGTGCAAGCATGTCCTCAATGAAGCAAAATCACTATTTGCTGATAGAATGAAACAACGTATTGCATCTTGCAAATTCAGTCTCAAAGATTATTGGTGTCTCTGCAAACCTACGATACCTCCTTTGTTCAACCAATTTGAGGTCTTGACTTCCTCAGCTGATAAGGCTGAGTGCTTTGCTTGTAAATTTTCATCCAATTCAACACTTGATTAAATCTGATATACCCACACCCAATTTCTTCCCTAGAACTGAGGCTCTGTTGAGCGATTTGCACATAATCCCATTGTTGGTATTGAGCATTATCTCTAAATTAGACTCCCATAGGGCTAGCAGTGGGAACAGGATACCAGCCATTGTCCGGGAGAAATGTGCTCTTGAACTGGCTCCTGTCCTCTCCAAACTATACAACTACTGCCCCAACAACTCCTGCTTTCCATCCTGTTGTACTTGTCTTCAAAAACTCTGGTGACTCTTCTGACCCATCTAACTACTCTCCTATCAGTCTCCTACCACTCTTTGGCAAAGTCTTTGAAGCTTTAATCAACACCAAAGTGGTTAAGCACCTTACATCTCATGATCTGCTCTCTGACAAACAATATGGTTTCCACTTTGCCTGGTCTACAGCTGATGTGCTTACGGCCATAACTGAATTTGTTTACCAAGCACTCCACAATAACAGAGAAGCTTGTGCCATGGCTCTAGATATCTCTAAAGCATTTCATAGGGTTTGGCATGCCAGCCTCCTTCATAAGCTTCAGGGATATGGTATCTCAGGACGATTATTTGACTTAATACGATCATTCCTGTCAAACTGTGTAATGAAGGTCGTCCTTAATGGATTCTCCTCCTGTTCCTTTCTCATGAATGCAGGTATTCCCCAAGGTTCTATCCGGGGTCCTACACTGTTCCTTATCATCATTAATGATCTTCCTGATGTCATCAGTTCCCAAGTTTCACACTGTCCGCTGACATGAAATGGAACAATTACATTGAATCAATAGCTTCATCTATCGCAAGGAAAGTTGGTTCTCTGTGTCATGCCAGAAAGGTTTTCTCACCCGAATCCATCATTCAAATCTATAAATCAACCATTCGCTCTTGCATGGAATATTGCTGCCATATATGGTCTGGAGCTCCCACTGTTCATTTTAGAGTCATCGACAAAATCTAGAGACAGATATGCAATGTGTTTAGCTCTGATCTGGCATCTCGTTTACAGTCACTCTCTCACAGACATGCGGTCGCCTCCCTCTGTCTTTTCTACAAATACTTTCACAGTAACTGCTCTGACAAGCTATTTTCACTAGTTTCCAAACTGCATGAATTTAAATGTGTTACTAGGTTGGCATATCAGTCCCACCCTTTCACTGTTGAAATGATTAAATGTAGCTGTCTCTTCTACTCCAATAGCTTCATGCTGTCCAAAATAGCATGGGGTAAGAGAGGTTGTGACTAGTGAAGACTGGTAGGATAAACAATTACCAGATTTTGAGGCCAACTAAATTCAACCTGATCTTGATTTTCTTTTTTCTTGATTGATAGCACAGATAACAAAATCTTTTCCAACGTAAGACTTGGTTTTCTCCATCGTCAACACTCTGTGTCAAAAGGATTTTCTCTTGATACTATGATCACTGTATGCTCCATTGATAATTTTATTGTTAAAAATAATAGTCTATAAAAATATTTTGATTATCTTGTAAATAATTTATTGTGCAATGTTAATCCTTCATGCCCATAAAAAATGGTGTGTCAAAAGAATGATTATTGCCTTAAAATTACTATTACTATATACACTTTTGACTCTCTTGGCAATGTTTATTGTACAATGTGATGCTTAGAATTTTAACCTTTTTGGCTCCAGCCTAAACTGGACCTGTGTTTTACCTTTTTGGCTCCAGCCTAAACTGGACCTGTGTTTTACCTTTTTGGCTCTAGCCTAAACTGGACCTGTGTTTTACCTTTTTGGCTCCAGTCTAAACTGGACCTGTGTTTTACCTTTTTGGCTCCAGTCTAAACTGGACCTGTGTTTTACCTTTTTGGCTCCAGACTAAACTGGACTTATGCTTTACTTTTTTGGCTCCAGTCTAAATCAGACCTATGTTTTACCTTTTTGTTTCCAGTCTAAACTGGACCTGTGTTTTACTTTTTTGTCTCCAGTCTAAACTGCACTTGTGTTTTACCTTTTTGTTGCTAGTATAAACTGAACCTGCATCTACCTCTTTACCTCTAAACTGTATCTATTTTTTTGACTTGAGTTTAAACTAGGCCTATATTTATCTTTTTTGCTTTTGTGCAAACTGAACATGTATCTACATTTTTGAGTCTAGCATAAATTATCCTGGTGTACCTTTTTGTTTATGTAAAAACTCTTGTGTTTAGACCATATCTACCTACCTATTAATTCATGACATTAAATAACCAACAAGCTCACTCGATGACATAACACTACTGAATGACTAACACCAAGGGAGAGCATAACCTTCTCTCAAGGCATTAAAAATGGCTGGATTCTATCTGGATTCAAAGACATTGGCAAAAAACAATTCTTTTTGGAAATCTAAAAGGAGTTTTTAGTAGACATTTATGAGTTCATTAAAGTGCAAAAAGTTCTTACCATGTGATATTTATATAATCATATGGCCTAACTGTAAAGTTCACCATCATCTTACAATATTGCTCGGAAGATGTAACCACAGCCTTAACGTGTAATGGAGCTGAAAAGAATGTTTTTAAAATTAGTAAAATGTCCAATCAAATATTTTATTCTCATCTTGTCATTTGAAAAAGAAAAACAAACTGATAAGTAGTTTTACCAGTAATTAAGGTATATGTTACAATGATGATTTTTTATTGTCATCAAAACATTAGTTTTAAAATGAATTATAATAAAGAATTTTTAAAAGGTACTATCCAAAGAACAATATTTATCATCAAATTGTAACATCTTTGGTAAAAAGAAATTGTTTAGATCTGAAGGCAGACTAAAATTTATTATATGAATCTTTATTGTATAAAATTTATTATATAAAGAATTATATCTATCTATATATAAAATTCTATGACTTCCGTTAGTCTATCCATGACACCTCTAAAATAGCCATACATTGACCATTCAAAACCAGATTGTGCAAAACAGGTAAGAGGGTACAAAGTACAGTTGGTTTTACTTGGGTGCATAGCTTAGCACAATAAATTTTCATCATTTTTTTTGGAAAAATTAAGTTTTATTTAACATACAAAATACTTCCACTATTTTAAAAACAATTTAATCATTAAAATAACAAATATATATTTATTAAAAATGCAATATTGTTTTTTTGGCATATCTTTTAAGTTTTTATATACAAGAATCCAGTTTCCAGTTTGCCCTGCATTTATGAGGACTATGAACAAATCACAAGGTCAAATGTTTCAAAAAGTAGAAATTTGGCTCCAGAAAGAAATATTTACACATGGCCAGTTGTATGTTGCATGCTTAAGAGTAAGAAATCTTAATAATTTATTCTTCCCTGTTAAAAGGGCAAAAAAGAAATTTTCTTAAAAAATATTATTTACCATGAAGCCTTATCAAATTAAATTAAATTACTAAACCATGGAGTAGGGCTTTTGTCAAAGTATTTTCTAAACCAGTGATGAAACATGGGGGTGGGGGAGCCACCTGGGGCACAGAATCATTGGGTGCAAAAATCACTTGATGACTAGGAAGTTTATTGCTGGGACTGGAAATGAATTACAAGCAAAATGTTCCACTTCCAATATTTTTATAAAATGAAACATGTGTAAAAATCTCATCTAGACCCAATCTAACCAAACTTATTTAGATGTGGTGAAAAATTAAAACTAAGTTAGATTAGGATAGGAAAAGTTTTAACATTATTTATCAGCAACAATGTTCGGAAATTAATTCAAAAAATGGTGAAAGAGGACCTAAAATTTCCTCCTTTTTATTTACTTTAATATCCTTTTTCGTGACTGCCCGTAGATACTTATTTCATGAATTATCTTTGCCAACAGTGCTCAGTAGTTTTTTGATCATGTGCAGTGGGGATGAAAGTCCATGCTGGCTAAAACATGAAATGTGCTAAAGAAACAACAAAAAGTGTTGTTTTCCCTCGATTGAGGCCAGATCTAAAACTAATCCATATTAATGATTTAAGATATATTCCTGGGATGGTAAATCCAGCATTTCTTAGTAAAATGATAATAATGTTAATTTTTATCCTCACTTCAATGAATATAAAAAAATTTAGACAATTATCTTATTGTAACTCAGTAGATCATATACAAGGTTTTCAAAAAATATAAAAACGATTTTTTAGACTTAATTTTTGAATCTTATTGTTAACTCAGTGTCAAAGATATAATGTGAGAATATATTTCCATATATTCAAGGTTTGATGCAAAAAAACGATTTTATTGGATGTTTTATAACAATCTGATTTATGATGAAACTAAATATGCAGTATTAACCAATGACAAATGCTTTCTGTTGAAGGTGAAGATTTTTTTCAGAACAAAGACAGCCCCTTTCAAAGTTTCAAAAGATTAGGAAGTTATTGAGCAAAAGAAACAATAAGATGAAACAAGCACAAAGCATGTGTGGGTGTCAACTGCATGATTTATACTAAAAGAAAACTGAGGTTGGGTCTAAATTTCACATAATTGTTGTTGTGTGTATTATAAATATATATATATATATATTCAAAAATCTTGTATTTTGAAAATGGAAAAAATGAATGAAAGAATGAGAACATGAACAGAGCACATTCACACACACACACACAATTGACAAAATAATTCAATACAAAGGCTCATAAAATATTCCGAAAGGCAAAGATTACTCATTTTATGTTACTAATTTCACAACTTGTTTATCTCTTTTTGCCACCCTGATCAATACAAAACAACAAGCCAAAACTTGATTTTCATTGTAATTGAATTATACTGTAAACAAAAAACTATATGAAACAAAAAAAAGACATATAAAAAAAACAACACTTTCCAGTCATTTTCAGGTGAGTTACACGTCTATTCAGCCCCTTCCTCCAATGAATCACTAGGTAAATCCAACACCTGCTGAGCATCCATTTGATGCTGTTTTTTATCAAAAGATTGATCTCAGGGAAAAATTGAAAAAAAAAGGACTGCTCTGGGCTGAAATAAATCGCCCATTTTTAGTCCAAAGAAAAAACCCCAAGTATAAATTGTGACTGAAATCTAAATTTTTCAAAAACCTTGGCACAAAAAGACCCTCTGAAAAAACATCCTAATTAGTTTTAGTAGTTTTATCAATAGATACTACAGTGTAACCCGGATATAAGAGAGTTGTCAGGACCAGGGAAGAAGTCTTGCATTTAACACAGGCTCTAATTTGGGACCAGAAAAATCTCTCTTATATCGAGCCAGTTATTTGACAACACAATCCTGAGCATTTGGGGGTGACACTATAGCCCCTTTAATTTATTTCATACACTCTGTATTTATATATATATATATATATATATATATATATATATATAAAAATTGAAAAAAAAACAATTATCTATGTCTGCTCATTTTTTTCTATGATATCTAACTGATCTTATCTAAAATAATGCAATATCTTTATATAAATATCTATGTAATATCTATGTTAGATTATATCTCTTTCTGTTTCTTAATCTTGTTCTTTATCCTATCATATATCTATATATATCTCTATATCCATATATATATATATATATATATATATCCATATATCCATCTATCTATCTCTGCTTATACGTATCTATCTATCTCTGCTTATATCCATCTATCTATCTCTGCTTATATCTATCTCTGTCTCTCTGGTCCATTTTGAACAGTCACTAAAAAAAAAATATTAAATTTTATATCATTGGAAGCATTTTTCAAAAGAAAATAAAAACTTTTCATCCAGCTCATTTTGAGCCACTTTCATTACAAAAACATGATACTTATAAGGCAAAAACATGGTTCTTAGCCAATTTTGGTTTTCATGCAATGCATTTTGAATGTGTCTTAGAAAACATTTATGTCAATTTCAAAGTAGATATTTTCCCTGATTGTACCACTATTTATTAGATTGTTTATTTACAATTGAATAATTTTATCATATTTACAAACTGTTTTATTTATTCAATTTGATAGACAAATTCTAAAAACTAATTTCATTTACAATTAGAGCTGGTAGTTCCTTGTTATGTGTTAGTTTTTATGTTAAACTAATATGAATAACGGCAAAATATAGCAATTCATTTTATTTCATTTTGTTTGCAAATTATCCAATTTTTAAAGTCCAAATAAAGATGTAAAAAAAATACAGTTTTTTGGTATTTTTTCTCCCATAAATTTATAAACATTATATTTAAATTATTAAAATGTATAACCAACTATAATATAATATATATATATTATTTACCATTTTATAAAAATGTTTGACTCAACTGGTAATTACCATTTTGAATTGAAAACAGTCTAAAAACATAAATAAATAAATTTGTGTTTAATATTTTTTTTGTCAATTCACAACTGGGAAATAAAACAAAATTACAAAATCCAGAAAATGTAAATAAATTAAATTTCATATTGTTTTTAAATTAAGGCTTCATTATAATTCTAAATCACTTTTTTTGAAATTGAAATAAATGTTGTCAAGGAATGAAGGTAGTTTGCCTGAAAATAATTTATGTTCATATCTATCTATGTATATATCTATATATGGAAAAATCTGTCCTTTTCTATCTTCAGGTTTTTTAGGTGAGCATAAACAAGGTTCAAATTTGAACAATTTTTTGCGTTAATCATTTTATATATATATATATATATATATATATATATATATATACTGCAATTACTCATTTTTGACAATTGGTCTCTTTGATAATGCTTTCATTGAATTTACTGTAATAAATATAACAATTTTCAGGTGTTTAAAATGGGTAAATCCAACACCTGCTGAATCCATTTGATGGATTTGATTGAATAAGGACTTTAGTTTGGGACTGAAAGGACAATAAAAACACAGGTTTCAGGAAGAGAAACACTATAGAAAATGGTGCCACTGATTTTGCATTTAAAAAATTAAAAAAAAACTTGAAGATTCTAGAATGTTAATAAAGGGAAACATGTTAGATTAAGATCTGTTTCTTAATCCTATCATTATATATATATATATATATATATTATATATATATATAGTCCAAATAATTGGCGAGAACAGTCACAAAAATTAAATTTTGTGTGCATTTTTCAAAATATTTCTATTTTTGAGCCAGGGGATTCATTTACAATATTTTTTTATTAGGTTTATTTACAAGAATATTTAAAACCAAAACTAATGTTTTGGTCTGTTTATATTTCAGTTTTTATTTATAAATTTATAAACATTACTAAATTATTAAATGTGAACCAACTATTTAAATCATTATTCATTTTATAAAGTTTGACTCAACTTTTAGCTTGAAAACAGTCTTAAATAAATAGTTTTAATATTTTTGTTGTCAATTCACAAGAACAAAGAAAATTTAAATTAAATTTCATGTTTGAAATAATTCTAATCACCTGAAAAAAATAATAATAGCAGTGTCAATGGAAAACTGTCCTTTTGACATTCAGGTTTTAATGAGCATAAAGGTTCAAATTTGCCAATTTTTTTCTTAATCATTTTACTGCAAGCAAGGTGATAATGCTTTAGAACACAAGGTGTTTAAAGGGAGTGAAAGAGGATGAGAATACTTTAGTGAGGAGAAAGGACAATAAAAGAACAGGTTTCAGGAAGAGAAAAGATGGTGACTGATGTTGCATTTAAATTATTGAAGATTCTAGATGTTAGAGAAGCAAGAAATTGGAAGGGAGTTTCACAGGCGAGAAGTGCAAGATTTATTTTATTTTTATGATTCATCAATCTTTTATGGGTTATTTAAAACCAGAACTTGTTTTGGTCTGTCTATATTTCGGAGATGAAATTTAAATTTCATTGACTATTGTCCTCAAATTTTCAGTTTGAAATTCCAACCACCTGAAGAAGGCCGGAGCGTACAACGGCCAAAATTTTTAAATATGCAAGGAATATTGTAAATAATAACAATTTTATTAACAATTTTGGGGGAGATAAGGATTTTTCCAGATACAATTTCCTACTATTTAACACATAGCTGGAGGGAATGCTTTACCAAGAACCAAAAATAAAAAAAATAAGACTTACCAAGAGAAAAGTCATTGGCTTGGACTGATGACAAGAAAAAAAATATGATAAACACCATCATGTAATGGTTGCTTTAGTCAATCTAGGAAAACACAAAAATGAAAAAATTATTATACAGAGATTTTACTTTTAACAGCTTTATATAGCAATATTTTTCATTGGCTAAAAAGGTTACATGTCAGGGGATTGTACCTATCATCACTTTTGCTATAATGATCACAGACAAAAGTGCTAATCCATGTTATGGGGATTTTCCCATATTCCAAAAACAAATGAAAATCAATGTTCATCTCTTTAAGCTCACAATAAAAAGGATTCTTAATCAGAGTGAAACTGAAACTGAAAGTGAAACTGAAACAAAGAAATTATTTATTCACAATTTATGTGAAAAAGTAGATGAGTGTAGGGCAGTCATGGGCAAACTATAGCCTGATTGACTTTCTGAATAGTGTACACAATTTCATAAAGAAAATAATTTTTATTACAATTTTATTGGTTTCATTTTGTTCTCAGTTGTTCCCTCGCACACACTCATACAAAACTACATACATAAACAACAATTAAATACAATTATTTTTAAATTTTGTAAACATTTGGTGAAAATAATATTTTCATCATTATAAACCATTGGCAATTTTTACTAAGGAAGATCATACATGTAAACTTCATTTGCTGTAGAAATGGGAAATGTTAGTAATATTTTTTTCTATGGAGAAGAAATTTACTTAAAAAAATTTACATACTCAAATGAATAAATTGGAAAAAAATCATACACAACAGCATGTATTAATCAAATTTGTCATTAGGAATAATATTATACCAAGACTTCAGTTTTTTTTAAAGATAAAAATAATCTTTTCTCCAAAGAAAAATATTGAATTTTCCCCAATTTCTAAAGTAGATGTCTATGTTTATGATCTATGACAGAAATGGCTGCAATGCTACTAATAAAAAAAAATCTGCTTGAATTCTTTAGTAATGCAGTCCACATTATAATAAACTATATCTTATATGGCCCTGTGCTCCAAAAAGGTTAACCATATCTGGTATAGGGTTTGGTTTAAAATATTCTTTCGGGCACTTAAAGAAATTAAGTTAAGTTTTAGAGAAAAAATATTGATAAGTATATGGAGACTTTGTGGGAAATTATAAAAGTCCTTGGTAGAGAGTGTAATGAGTTAATGCAGTCAACAAATTGTTGTCAAAGTCCACCAAGCCATTTGAGGGTTGATAGTTAAATAAAGTAGGAGTGTACAGTGTGGTCTGAAAGTCTTGTCACCCCCATTACCAAAACGTAATGCAAACACTAGAACAACAAGTAATATAAAACACATGTACTGGATTCAGTTTATTCACTTTCATTGATGCTGTCACACCACTTTTAGCATAACAAATTTTCACCTCCTTTTTGCAGTGACAAATACATTAATTTGGAAATTCTTTAAAAAAATCAATTAATTGTCAGATTTCAATTAAAGTTTCAGCACCTATTCACAAATGAATTAAATTATTTTTGAATTTTTTTTTATTAGAAAATATTAGCAAAAATGTTTTCTTTTTTTTTACATGTTTCAGCCTCTTAATTTTATGAAGATTGAGAAATTCAATGAGATAATTTTTAGTGATTATATTAGTTAAAAGCAAAATTCTTTGAAGAATTTAAATCCCTAAAGTTTTTTTTTTTTTGCAAAATTGGTCCCAGTTTTACTGAAAATCTGTTCTGAATTGAAAAATAAATCTTTTTTATTATTAAATTATTTAATTAGAGCAGCTTTTAACTACTTTTATGAATAATATATATTAAAGACAATATTGTCTGAAGAAAAATATTTTGATGAAAAAATAATTTTACAAGATTTGTTTTCATTTATTTATTTTTTTACAATTTTAAATTGAATAATTTATAAAAAAAATTTAAATCTTTTAAAATTCATTTGCAATGTGATAATAATTCTTAGGAAATATTGTTATTAAGTAAAACTATATTTACTAATCATGTATTGCAAAGCTTATTACAATCTGACGACTCCAGATATTTTTAAAAGAATTTCGATTTGTTTTTGTATGTGTGATTATGCGCAGAATTTCTGTAGTATGGATGTACAAATCTAGCATTTAAAGATCAGTGTTTTAAGGGTTGTCCCCCCTTACGGTAAGAAAAAAAAACTTTGTCTGCTTCCCCATACTTAACTATGAATACTTTCGGCTGTCAATCGGATGTAAATAAATTGATAAACAAGACCTCGTAGTTAAGAAATGTTTGTATACAACATTTTATGCTATAAGTAATATTTGTTTCAAATCAGATTAATTAAACTAAATCTCCTAATTTTTCTCAAATAACGTTTCAGAAATATACATTTTATTTTTTGCAAGATTTTTAAAACCGAGTATTAACTTTTGTTTTCAAATGTGTCAAAAATGGCCGTTTTGATCGATTTTAAATGAAAATAAAAATTGATTCCGATCAATATAATTTCTGTACCACAGAGTATTTTGCTAAATGGAAATAAATAAATTAAAATTCTTTTAGCTTTAATGAAAGCTAAAAATGAAAGTTTCAAGAAAGCTTTTTCATTTTTTTTAAAAAATCATTTTACTTATCGATACCGAATTAGTGGAGGTACCTAAATAATAACTTCAAGAAAGATTTTTCATTTATAAAGTACTTTTTTAAACCTTAGGTATCACTTTTCTTTGGGTTTGGGAGGTACCTAATTTGGGGTTAAGCACTTTTCGTAATACGGTGAAATGAATTTCTAGTAGCAGCGAAAAAGAAAAAGTAATTTTTTTTGTCTTTTGTTCTTTTTAAGTTTCCGTATTGTTATCGAAACAGATATCATAAGTTTGTCTTTCTACTAATATTGCGTAAATGGAACCACACCTTATTTACGCAAAGAAAAATGAAGGTAACAGTCATTCAAACAAAAAAAAAAATACATTACATTTTAAAACTAAAAAAAAGACATCTTGGTTGACATTTTCGATTAATTATTATCGTTAATGATACAAGGGAAATAACACAATGAAAATGACACCTTCCGTATTTTTTGAAATTCTTTTTTTGTTTTAGGTATTCGATGCGATACCTTGGAAAGAGAAGATCATGAGTAAGAAAAATAGAGAGTGAGAGAGATAAAAACAAACCAAAAAAAAAAAAAAGAGAGAGAAACGAGAAGGCAAGTGATACGTTACGTATATTCGAATTTTAACTGTAAAAAATGTAAATTGTCATTATTCTCTATTCTGATATGATATGGCGAGCAAATCTTCCAATTACGACTGAGTTCGATCTTCACTGGGAGCTTCATAATTTCGGCCTTGTGCTAAAAATCTAAGCTACGCTTAGTAAATTACTGTTGATTCTTTGTCAATCAACCTTACAATAATTTGTAATATGTTAGGACAAATATACAAAATATATAAAAAAAGTAATAAAAAAAAATTACTTTCACTTTTGTCGACCACCTGACGCAAAAAAAAGATTTTTAACCAAAATTTCAAACGTGCTAGAAAGAATTTTTAAAAATTATTTAAAAAATACTTTGGTCTTTCCTCTTCTTAATAATAACAAACATTTTGACGATAAAACTTTGTTTTTATTAAATTTGGGGCCTTTTTTCATCACGGTATGCTGATTTTTTTTCAACGAAAAAGTGGAAGTATCTAAAAAAACACTTAGTTTTAAGAAGGGGTAGCTCCACAAAAACGTGATACCTAACGTTAAAAATGAATTTTTAATAATGAAAAATCTTTCTTGAAGCTTTTATTTTAGTTTTAATTTCAAGCTGGAGAATTAAAATTAATTTCTAATATAAACAAAATATTATGCCGTATTTCAAAAAACTAATTTATTGATTGAAAGGATTATTATTTTTGTTTAAGTGATTACTCACTGTCACGCATAATGACAGTAAGAAGAGTAGTAATAAAGTTAGCGACTTAAATCAAAATGTTAAAAAATACACAAATAAAAATTAATAAAACTGACTTAAATGTACGAAATACAAAACAAAAATATAAATTAAAAAATAACTTTAATTAAATGTAGAAAATAAAAAATAAATTAAAAAAAAACCGAGTTAAAAAATGTACAAAATAACAGAAATATAAAAACTGAAAAGAAAAGAAAAAGGAAAATATAAAAAATGACTTACCAAAGTTTTCTTTTCCGATGTATTTATTTTTTCAGCTGTTGGAAAATAAAATTAAAAAGTATTTTTTTTTTTTAAGTACAAGTAATTGTACAAACCTTAAATATCTGTGTCCCAACTAAAACTTTTTTACGACCGGTAAGTAAAAGAAAATACTCAGTAAGTTTGATAGAGAAAAAAAAATCAATGCAACTACTATGGGATAATCGATTTTTTTTGTTTGTTTTATGAAGAAGCGAAAATACATGTTAAAACATGCCGGGGGTTTTCTCTTTTTCTGGGAAGAAAGTTTTTAAAAAATAACAAAAATAGGAAATATTTTTGTTGTTGCGATTTCCTGTTTCAGTTAATTGAAGAAAAAGTTAACAATCGAGTTCATAATTTTCAATTATGATGATAAATAAATTTTCATATTGGACCACGAAGATTTACATTTACAATGTAAATGTAAATTGTAAATTTTACAATGAATACATGTTTCGAAATTCGAATAAAATATGTTCAAACTATTCATTGATTTTTTTTATTTTTTACTATATTGACTGACATAAAACACAACTTTTAGCGAAAAAATTTACAAATTTTATTTTTCATTAATTGTTCATTTATGAATGAAAGTGTATTTTATTTTGTCAAAAAAAGAAGTTTGTTGAAATAATTTTGGAACCAACAATCAACACCTTCCGCTTTATTCAATTTATTGAAATTAAATTATTACAAATAAATAAATACCGCCACGGATTTCTGAAACGAAAAACGAATTTTAAGTAATTTAAAAATATATCCTTTGAATTTAAAATTTTCATTTTATTTGAAAGATAGGGTAGCCCCTAAAGCTAATCCGTATTAAAAAAAACAAAAAAAAAACGTATGTAATTAAAGTTTTTAGGCATTATGACTGTAATTATGTACTAATATGGGAAACGTCCCCGATGTTGAATTCGTTTGTGACGGCTGTCATTTTTGATTTCCATGGCACGCACGTGTGGACACTATTTTGAATGATCAACGGTCACTTTTTTTTACCTGGTCATTAAGCCGTGAGGATACTGTGATTTTAGAAGAAGTGTTGAGACAGTGCTTCTTCGGAGGGAATCAATTACTACAAGCTATTTCAGCACTTATGGACGGCCGTTTTGACATAAATTCGACGGGTCCGGCTCTGTCGTAAAAATATGGATGGAAAAGGTCCAGATGGTGTGCGACTTGTACGGAGTGAAGTTGAATGGATTTTCCCTCTTCAACTTACTGGTGGAGCCTTTACTGTGTATTTACAGCTGTGCCAGGGGGATAAAACGGATGCAACCTGAATTAAAACGGCCCTATGCACAGCTTTTGCGACAGCGCCCTCACTGCGTATGAACAGTGCGCGTCGAAGTGTTTACGACCGGTCTAGACGGTTGATGTCTATTTGGCTGAGCTGAGGAAATTGGAAACGCTCTTCAAAGGTGTATCTGTCAGACATCGTGTGCCTTTGTCGCTAGCCTGCCCAAACGCATGAAAATCTCTTGCGCGCATCTTCCAGAATGAATGATCTTCCTTTGGGAGAGTTGTTGGCCCAGGCACGGGCAATAATTAAAGATGGAGGGGGGGGGCATAAACGAACAAGTTGTGGCAGCTGCAGACCCGAAGACATATTCAATCGTGTCTCCCGCGCCTAACATGATTACTTGCCACAACTGTGGAGGCCCGAATCATTTGACCAAGGATTGCTTGAACCAACGCGGAGAACACCGAAGAGTTCGGGATGAGCGCGGGGCCATACGCTGCTTATCGGTGTGGAGGTGTTGGGCATATATCGCGGAATTGTCTGGGAAACGGCTCAGGGGAGTAGAAATAAGCGAAATGTGAATATGGCGCTGGCTGTGTGTGATTAATAATCAGGTTGATCGAGAGTGATGTTCAGCCTTTGTTGATTCATGCTGATCACTGTCGCGGAAGAGGGACTAAGCATTTGCATTGAGAATGGCAATTCTACTGAAATCGATGTGTTAGTCACGCCTGAAGGACTACTTGGATATGACCTTTTAGTCGGTATCAACACCATTAAGACGTTGGGGTGGAGGCGCTACCAGTGTAGGAAGCCCGGTAAGTGCGGTGATCCAAATCGTTGAGCCTGATTTTTCATTGGAGTTTGATGATAGACAGAAGGTATGGACGGTTGCATGGAAATGGAAACACCAGGCAAGGCACCAGATCGGCTGAAAAACAAAGTCTCTTCGTACTCCATAGCCAATCACATCAAAGTCTCGAACGAGCAGGAACTGAAAATTTGAGTCGATAATGGTTGGCTTTTACCCTACCCGGAGAAAAGACTGGGTCCGCATAAAGGCCTGATTCCGTTGATGGCTGTTATGCAGAGCAACAAAGGAAAAGTGCGCCCAGTGATGGACTATCATGAGCTGAATTCTCATGTTAATGCATGTATGCGGATATTTGCGCAGCAAAGCTTCGGGAATGGCGTCGACATAACGCGCATGTTGCCCTGCTCGATTTGCGCAGGGCCTGTTGCGGGCCCGGTAGGGTGCAGTGCTGGTTTATTACTAAGTGGCCTTGTGCCAGACACCACACTAAACTACCGAGTCTACAAGCAAAGTAAAAAGATAAAAATGTGCGTGAATGAACAACGAAGAAATGTGGTTAATCCACACGTGCATAAAATAAAATATATTAAGATAGCCGACACAGAATGACAGAACAAGACTGGATTCCAACAAGAGTAATTTTTATTAAATGCAGGAAAACAAGTAAATTGTCCCGTAGTAGGGGTCAATGAAAAAGTTCCGCGCCAAAAGTAGAAGCAAGATGGCTAAAGGCGGGAAGGTTCTTGAAGAAGAAGGAGATACCAGATAAGTCAATGTACAAGATAATATTCATACAAGGAAAAATACTCACTGCGAGTTTTTAGGTAATGTGAGTGAATGTTATTGTTATGTACATATTTTTTTTTAATTTTTTTTTGTACTGGTTCAAAACAGATTTCTGACGAGACCCAAAGTGGACGACGGATTGTTATTTTGTATGTTCTGCATCGTCTCGGAGTAGAACTTTGAATGACGAGTCAAAAGGGACGAAGGATTAATCATTTGGTATATGCATCGTCTTATAAAAGGGTTTTGAATGACGATCCAAAAGGGACGCAGAATTAATATTTGGTGTTGGCATCGTAAGATATCCTTCGTCAGTCAACCTTGCATATTGACATGGCTAAAAATGAGTCTGCTTAGGTCCGAATCTGGATCACAACTGAACTTTTCTGAAACAACAGTTTGTCGTTGACGTCACAAATTTTTCGCGGGAAGATTTCAAAAATCTAATTTGCATAACAGGTCGCTTGGTTGGTGACCAAAAACAGTTACTACTGTATTAGACTAAAAGAGACAGAAAGGGGGTGTCAAACGCGCGCGCGCACACAAGCGTGGAAGAAGGGAGGAAACTCGCGCGCGCGTAAAATGTCGTAGATGGAATAATACATTATTCCACACAGCCCTCCTCCTGGATCAAATGTCGCAGACATTTGACTAATAATAGTAGAATGTTTCCAATTTCTTTGGAAAGGTGACTTTTCGACCGGAGCTGGTATACTTAGGCTTGTCGAGAGAAACAGGTGTCTTAAAATTCTCCTGAACTCGCGGAGTTGATTGGGAAGTAGTATGAGACGACGGTTTCTCTATAAAGGCAGGTTTCAACCGATCTATGGAAACGTTGTCGGTGTGAATACCTTTTTGTATTTGGAAATATTTGTCCGTGCGTTTAAGAACGCGGTATGGGCCTGTGTAGGCCGGCGTAAGAGGCCGCTTAACAGAGTCATTACGTACAAATACAAATTCGCAGTCTTTGAGCTGGTGCGGTAGATATATATCACTCGGGCAGTGCCGCGGTGGTGTATAGCATAAGTTTGCCATTTTAAGGCGTAAGTCCTGAATAAAAGAGGAAGAAACTGGTGGTGTGGTCACAGCTGGCGAAAAATATTGGCCAGGTAAAGATAACGAAGTACCAAATACAAGCTCTGCAGGGGAGCATTTTAAGTCATCCTTAAGAATATTTCTTAACGATAGAAGGATGAGGGGTAATTCATCGACCCAATTATTATTCTCATGCTTCGTTGATAGCGAAGCCTTAAAGGGTGCGATGGAATCGTTCCACCAGCCCATTAGCACAGGGGTGATACGCTGTAGTACGTATATGCTTTGCACCAAGGAGTTCAGTGAATTCCCTGAAAAGACACGACTGGAACTGTGCTCCTCTATCTGTAGTAACCACTTTAGGAGTCCCAAAATCGAAATCCAGTTGCATAAAATAGCTTTTGCGACAGTCACAGCAGTGGTATCTTTGACAGGGATGGCAGTAGGCCATCGGGAAAAAACGATCCACTATAGTTAGAAGGTAGGAATAACCATGGCAGGTTGGTAGGGGCCCAACTAAGTCCAGGTGTATATTAGTAAAACGAGCATCAGGCTCGCTGAAAGTGCCCACAGGAGATTTTGTGTGTCTATGCACCTTACACTTCTGACATTGTAAACATGTATTGACCCATTCACGAATGTGAACGTTCATATTCGGCCAAACGAAACGGTCCGAAATTAACTTAACTGTGGCTCTTTTGCTAGGGTGTGAGAGTCCGTGTAGGTGGTCAAAAACCTGTCTACGAAGAGACGGAGGAACATAAGGTCTTGGGGATTTGGATTTAACATCACAGTATAGGACCTTGTTACTAAAAGGAACTGGACATTTCTGAAGTTCCAAAGAAGTGTCGGATAACACCTGCTTCAGAGTTATGTCCGCTTTCTGTTCGTCGGCGATCAAGTCTTGACTGAGTGCATCAGTATGCACGCCGAACATCTCAGTACGAGATAGGGTATCGGCAACAGTGTTATCCGAACCCTTAATGTACCTAATATCAGTAGTAAATTGAGATATATAGTCCAGATATCTGATTTCCCTCGAAGTGTATTTGTCCGAATTGGTGGACATAATGGACGTTAAAGGTTTGTGGTCCGTAAAGATGACGAAGGACCTACCTTCGAGGAGGTGTCTGAAATGCTTAATAGCAAGAAAAATAGCCAACAGTTCACGAGAAAAGGTACTGTAGCGTGACTGGGCAGGAGAAAGTTTAGCGGAAAAGAACGCTATAGGTTTACGTTGAGAAGGACTGACTTGTTCAATGACCGCGCCTATTGCTGTTTCGCTAGCGTCAGTGGTCAGGTAGATATCCGATTGAGGGTCGTCCTCTAAGAAACTAAGCTTAGAAAAATTGCCCAGAGCGGTTTTAGCTGCTCGAAAGGCGTCCAAGGCTTCGTTCTCAAGTATAATAGTCTTATTCTTCTTCTTCTGTAATAAATTGGTAAGGGGAGTCAGGATGTTAGAACAGTTTGGAATAAACCTCCTGTAGAAGTTGATCATCCCTATAAAGCGTCTCAACTGTTTAATAGAAACAGGGACGGGAAACTCAGTGATAGCTTTAATCTTTTCAGTTATAGGGGCAATTCCATTTGCATCGACGTGATGTCCTAAAAATTCTATATGGTCTGATCCGAAGACACATTTGTCCAGGTTTAGACGAAATCCGTAATGGGACAAACGTTGAAGAACTTCGTGTAGGTGTTGCTTATGCGAGGCAGCGTCCTCGCTAGCTATCAGAATGTCGTCAATGTAATCGAAAACAAAAGGGAGTCCACGCAGAACCTCGTCCATAAGACGTTGGAATGTCTGTGCTGCGTTGCAAAGGCCGAAAGGCATTTTCAAAAATTCAAATAGACCGAAAGGTGTAGTAACAGCAGTTTTTGGGACATCAGCAGCAGCTACTGGCACCTGATAATATGCTTTTGCAAGATCTATTTTAGTAAAAATCTTTGCGCCTTGTAAAACCAGAAGTGAAATCGTGGAGGTGGGGGATTGGATAACGATCCCGGACGGTGATGGAATTCAATCTTCTATAATCCACACAAATTCTATAGTCCTCCTTTCCTGGTTTAGGTACCAAATGAAGAGGGGAAGCGTAGGGACTGTCGGACGGACGAATAACACCCTCTCGTAGCATGTCGTCGAAAGCTTTCTTTGCGAATTTTAATTTGTTAGGTGCTAGACGACGAGGACGGAAAAAACAGGTTGACCAGTGGTCTTAATAAAGTGCTGTGTTTGATGTTTAGTTGAATCAATAGATCCAGCAGGACGCAGGAGGTCCTGGTACTGATTCAATAAGTCTAAGTACTCTTTATTGTGGCACGTTGCCACGGTGATGCCAGTGGTGGTAAGTTTAGAATAAGTGCCAAGAACACACAGTCTTGTTAAGTTGTCAGTCAGGGAATGGTTGTTCATTCGCACGGCGAGATCATAGTGCGCCAGGAAATCTGCACCTAATATCGGCATCTGGACGTCAGCAACAGTAAAATTCCAAGTAAAGTCTCGTCGCATCCCTATGTTTAGGGTAAGGGACTTCGTACCGTAAGTATTAATACTGGAACCATTTGCTGCTTGTAAGCGGAGCTGAAAAGGTTGTTGACGAGCTTTATCACGCACGGGTAAGACACTAATGGCAGCGCCGGTATCAACCAAAAACGTAAATTATTACGTGTGTCCGTCACATAAAAAAAGCGACTAAGTTTTGGTGAAAATGCCTTGCCAGCGAGATTAGTCGCTTTCACTCGCTGGCGGTTTTGTTTTC